AGCCAAAACGTATGCTATTCGCCCATGCTGCTGACTAAATAGTTCTAGGGCAACGTGCTTGTCTAAAACGTGCAAAATTCGTATTCTTTGTCCCATTGATATTTTAGAAGGACTGGGTAATTAATATCTTTGATTTGTCTGTTCAGCCAATTTTTTTCATTAACGACGTCCGTGCAATCTGACCACTGGCGAACGTTACCCTTCCTTGTTACGCGTTGCACAATCCCGAATGTCTTTTCATATTATTGTCTGACCTGGTTAGGGCGAGGACTTTTTTCTCGGGTGATCAGTTAACCCTGTAAACTTTATTTAGCTTAGTGCCAGTTTAAACCCAATATATAACGCAGTTAATGCAAAAATTAGAAACAATATTTGAAAAGAAATTATGCATCAACAACAGGTGCAAGATGCAGGCAGAAATAGTGTCGAATCGGTCGGTCAGCAGCATGTTATCCCACCGGATATAACGCCGCCAAAAAAAGCTGTTTTGCGCTTATTCTGACTGTGGATGAAGAAATTGATTGCTTCGATAGAAAATAACTGTTGGACGATCGACAACATACAGCATCATGGCACGAAATAAAGCAGGAGCACAGTTCTGCTGCCTATCCAAAAAATTTAATACAACATCCCATTAAAAGCTTCACATCGTTTACAGGTGAATAATTATCATATCCTAATCCGCACTGACCGACGCTTTTTTCGCCTGAACAAGTTCCCGGAGATAGTCTTCAGCTTCCTTTAAGTTCCTATGCAAGGCATCTTCCTGGCTCTAAACGACAAACTGTTAAGAACTATAAAATAACACCATCGATTGCAACGGACAGAGCAAGGTAAGTATCAAAACTCAAGTACAGATAATCATCAATCATCCAGACTCATGACAGGATCATGTGATCTCCATGACCATAATTTCGTCGATCTTCTATCCAAGTACCGGGGACGACTACCAATGCTTAAAGAAAATGCCAATATTTCTGCACTAAAGATCATATCCGAAGTATCACCCTAGATATTATACTTCCCGGTGAACTACTTGACAAACGGTTGAACTTCTGGAGCAAATATCCCAACTAATATTTTCTACAATATTTTATAGTCTGATTTTCATGGCAGAAGACGCACTACTAGTTGAGATACATCTTTCAGCGATGGAGTACGTTACAGCACAGTCTTACTCAAAATTCCATTGAACACAGACGATATACGGGGACGAAGCTTCACATCCGAGAAGCACTTATGAAGTAAAAGGTAACGTACATTTTGGACATCGAGGTTCATCATCGTTGAGCTGGAGCCCTCGTTTGTTCCTGCAGTGTTGCCATAATTTTAATCGCAGTGACAAAACATGACCACAGGTGAACATGTGGCACCTCTGCAGATACCGTCGCGTGCTTCTTCCGCTCAACGGTATATGTCGAACTCTTAAGGGCTACATGTCGAACAATATTATTGCGATAGGTGAACGCAGGTAAATCCTCGTAATTCACGAGCAGCTTAAAGAGCGCAGCAATAGAATTCGATAGATGCTATATTTCGGGTTCAGAGTCATGGTAGGGAATTTTCTTAAACACTTAATAGAATACAACGTAGATCAACGACCTACCACAAGAGCAATGCAAAACCATCCTAATATAACGACAAGTCTTGAAGCCACTACAGACATCCATTACAGCTTATCCCCTCGAGTGCAGTGCATATAACGCCATGTCCGCCGATTTCAAAGTCGTTTAGACATTTTAGACGTAACCTACGACGGTTTCGAACGGCAGCGTACGGTGGATACAGCATTAAAAATTAATAAACATAATTGTGAAAATTTCAGAGAAGAATCGTCATCGCGAAGAGCTACAGCATCAGCGCACAAGTGAACGGATCAAACATTTCGTGAATGACGAGGTACGGGGTAACCATTGCTCACGAAATTCAATTTCTAAACAAGATCGACAGCTTCCTATACAAGAAACGCATACTAAAACAATAAGAGAATGCCGGAAAAGTACGTAGGATAAACGTGCGAGGAGGAACTGATAAAAAGCAGAACCTGAATCAGTGAACACATGGCCTGGCTCAGCAGAGCAGATGAGAAAGGCAGCTTTGCCGTTATGCAGCACAGCGAACGAAAAAAACCAAGTCGTATAATGGCATGCCTGTTTCAAAATTCCAGTCGTCGTCAAATTATATCGTCTAATTATAATAAAAAATGCAGCTGTATAATTTTGTCAGTCAAGCAGAAACAATGTCATTTATTTTAACTTCATTGCTTCTTATTCATAAATGTAATCATTGCAAAACATAGATGATTCTGGCTTTCACGTGGCTTTCACGTCCGCTGGAGAAAGGGAAGGGCCAAAATACAGAACTGTATGAAACAGAACGAGATTTGACAGAGTTCATCATCACAGCAGTTGCGCAAGCCATGAAGACTTGTCAGGAATTCTGGAAGGGTTGGCAAATCGTGCAACGGTAATGAAAAAATGCCCATGTCTAATCTGTCTATAAAACAGAATGATAACCGTCGTTCATAAAAATACTAACAATGATTGCCCTTTTCAGCAGGAAATGGCGACCTCTGTTTAGGTCCATAACTGTAGATCATTGTGGGAACCAAACAAAGCAAATAATAAAACGCTATTGCCAATGCGTTTCGCTAAGCATGCCGTAGCATCGTACTTACACAGTTGATATTCATGCATTAATATGCTTTATATGTACAAATTACGGCGATGTAAGGTGGTGGCAGATTAACCTCAGAGCCTAACCAGTATATTCTAAACTGTAACTTTTAAGGTTTACTCTCAACCACTCATCACCAAACTATTACGCTGCTTCAAACCTTCTTTCTTTATTAGAAAAGAGAAGTATTCATGCACATACGATGTTTCATCGCCAAAATGTGCAAGGATGTTCCTTAATCGAAAGACCAACCGGTCCTTATCGATTACAAAGATATTCATTTGGCTGAAGAAGTGTTCTTCAAAAAGGGCGTGTTGCGTAATATCAGAGTAGTAGTCAGCCTGTACGCGTTTAACTACAGACAAGTGCACATCTACGGATATTCAATTTCCGGTACGTCTTTACAGTATATATTACCTCAATCTGCTCACTCGATGCTGTAGAACAGTCAACGCCCTT